TGTAGGGAAGTCCGACAAACTCTATGAGGTGCCTAAGATAATATGAGAGGAAAAAACATAAATCAAGGACCATGACCCAATACTACAATGACCTTGTTGCATTATGAATGGAATGCAACATATACTATAACTACACTTGGGAATCTTCGGCCGACCTATCTCTCTTCCAGAAAATTATAAAAAAAGACACATGTTCTAATTTCTAGCAGGCCTTTAATTAAGATCTTAACGAAATTCAGGGTCGTATCCTTAATCAGGATCCTCTTCCTTCTGCTCGCATTGCCTTCACTGAGATTAGTTGAGAAGAGAACCGGAGACTTGTCATGCTTGGTGCTTCCAATACGTCTGCCAAAGCGTTCGCCTTGGCCTCTGATAGTGCTAAACCCCATGCAGGTCACCCCACTTGTGATTATTGTCACAAACCCAACACACTCGTGATAACTGTTAGAAGCTCGATAGGAAACCTGCATCCAAAACTTCGACCAAATTCTCTACAACATCTAAATCCAACATGGTACAACCGACCCTACCTGAAACATTCCAGAATCCTACGATTCTCTTAAGAGTCAAATGGAGCACTTAATCAAGCTGCTTGGATCCAACCCGTTTTCTTCTGGCTTGTCAACCTCTCATGTTCGTCAAAGTACCAATCCTATGGTACTCACTTTTTCCACCCCTTCTAGTCCATGGATCATTGATTCAAGTGTCATGGACCATCTCAAGTCTTCTCGACATAATATCCATGCTCAAGGAAAGATACTGTTAAAATTGTTGACGATTCCCACAATTTCATTGCTAGTAAAGGGTCAATTGTTTTAACAACCGGTCTAACTTTGGAATCTGTGGTACATGTAAATCTGCTGAAGCGTACCATTTTGTCTGTCAATAACTTAACATAAGACATTGATTATGTTGTTCATTTTTTCACGTATTTATGTCTTTCAGGATCATCGTTCGGGAAGGATGATTGAAAATACTAAGCAACTAGGAAGACTCTACTTCTTGGAAGAGAAAGCATAGAGAATAAAAACACTTCACACAGTAGTTGCAGTATATTTTGGTCCACTAAATGTCCTATTATGTTATTACACTTTCCAGTATATATATATGAATGTCCTATTATGTTATTACACTTTCCAGTATCTATATATATATATATATATATATATATGCTAATGTTTACTCATAGAAATTCTTTTAATTTCAAATGTGAAATTTGTCTAGTTAAATATCATCATGTTCCTTATCCTCCCTACATTTATACTCCTTTCGTTTTTTTCTTACTTAATCACAATGACTTATGGGGACCCTCTCATAATCCCAGTTACACAAATAAATGATAGTTTCTAACTTTGATTAATAATCACACTCAGATGACATGGATCTATATTTTAAAAGACAAATCTGAAGTTGCAGCCACCTTAAAAAATTTCACAAATTCATTTTGACCCAATTCAAAACTCTTATTTAAGTCCTTCAGACAGACGATAGTCGTGAGTTTTGTGACTTTATATTAAGATAATTCTTGATAAGCAAAGGCATCCTCTATCATAGCTCGTATACAAACACTCCACAAAATGGGGTAGTCGAGAGGGAAAGCAGACATCTCGATGTTGCTCGCTCCATTATGTTTCAATCTAATGTCCTTAATGTTTCTGAAATGATTACATACTTAACGCCACATATCTCATCAACAGAGTTTCCTAAAAAATTCACAACTTTCAAACCTCTTTAGCCATCTTGAGGTCGTAATTTCCTACCAATTGAGCCTTCTCCACTTTAGATCAAAAAATTTTTGGGTGCTCGACATTTATTTGGAACACGGCTCCAACTCGGAGTAAACTTGATCTTAGATCCATAAAATGTATTTTTCTTAGATATTCTGCAACTCAAAAGGCTGTCGATGCATTGACCATACCACAAATAAAATCTATATTTTTTTGAAAATGTTTCATACTTTCCTAACTCGGCCTCCAGTGATAGAGCTAAAGTTCTTGGACACTATTCCTTACTCTACTCATGCAGATGATCTCCTCATGTAGCCTAACACCGAGGAACCCTCTGTTCATTTGGTTCCACCCACTACGCTTACCACCAAGGAGCCCTTTAGTTCCACCATCTAGTCTTCCCACTTTCCGTGTTTACACTCGACGCACTCGTTCTGGTGCACTTACTCTGGATCTCACCAACCCCTAATCGAACCTGAATCCCCTCCGAGCAGCATCCCTAACACTACTACTACAAATGAGGAAGTCAATTCTTCTAGTAATGTACACAATCGAACATGCTTTCTCCATCC